AAAGGTCAAGTATAAGGTTTAAGATTTTATTTCTGTAAGTTTTGAGTGCTTAGGATTAATATAAATTAACCTCTTTTAACAAAATAGTATTTTATTATTCAAAATATAATATTTATGTAACCTACAAGTACTGCCTATCATTATCCTTAATTTCATACCAATATTTCCAATATTTTCCAATACCCACCAATATTTCACATACTATGTATAACTCTTTTTTGAATAAATATAATCCTTTTTTTCCCTATATCTCTAAATATCCCAAATTTTTTTCTGAGTACACTTGAGTCCTCAGTGGAGTCTAAAACGTACTCCTCCCGCACTGTTGCCCCTCGGGCCGCACCAACACAATTGAAATTCCTTTGGCGCAGAAATTGCATTTCACGCTGGAAATGCGTGCTCTGCGTGCAGCAAAACTAAAACCTAAAAAAAAAAATACAAAAAAAAACTAAAATGCAACGGCAATAGGCAGCAGCAGCAACTGCAACATTTGCTGCAACTACAACTAGCAGCAACAGCAACAACACTATTAAGAGCAAGAAATAGTCAAGACAACCGAAGGAGTGCTCTATAAAATATAGTTTAGGAAGTAAAGGTTTGAAATGGAAGAGTTGGGAGTACCGGGTAGTTATATCTTTGAATGAGATGATGTAGAATTAGGTTTATGAATTCTATACTCATGTACCAGGTATCAGTATCTTTAAGAATGGAATTCTAAAGTAAGGATTATTAAGTATAGGGACGTAGGCTTTTTATTTCTGAAAGTAGATGTTTTATTAAAGTAGCAGGTAATACAGGTACCGGGTATCAATGTTGTAGCAAAATATGGTATAGATTATAGGTATCAGGTACCGTTTATATGTATATCTTCTTATTAGGAAGAGTATACCATATTTTAGTCATATTTCTTTAAAGCCCTGGCCAAGAAGCTTTGAGGCCAAAAGTGTAGGTGCTGCAGTGGTGGGATGTAGCTGATTTCATTCCGTCATGCCGGAAAATGCCAAAAGCCCAACACTTTGCGGCCAAGAAAAAAAGAAAAAACTATATATATACGAAGATCTTGGTAGAGGAACATTCTGATTTGAGTGAACTCTTGTCACGTTCCGAGTTCAGATCGGTTAGATATTATTATTATTAGGCTTAAGTTTTTTTCTTAGCCAAATTGAAGTTAGTTCCTTATTCTACTAGTTTTTGTTTTTAACATTGTCATCATTTTTTTGTTGTTATTTTTTGGTTTGTTGACTTTACCCCCGACTGCTACTTTGTTGTTGTTTACTTTTTGGCAGCCGGGAAAGAAGCCAAGCAACACTTTGGGATCTGTTTGTTGACATACGCAACTTTTTCGCAGCCCACACAGGCAAGGAGCCTCTGGCTCTGAAGAAGAAAGCTGAAGAAACATTCAGAAGAGAGATCCTCAAAATGAGGCAGCAATTTTTTAATGAAACTCTTGTCATTTTTGCACTTTTCTTCATATTTTTCAACCTTTTTTTTTTTTTAAGGTTTAATTAGTAAACATTAAAAAAAAACTAGCTGGGGAAACAAGTTTTTAAGGTTTACACCTTTGGATAGTTTTTTTGATAAAACTTTCCTATAATTTTCCTTGAAAAAAGTCTCTAAAGAGTAGACTATTCCCTAATCCAATTATCATTTTTTTAATACAAATAAAAATTAAGCCCCAAAAGCTAATAAACTTTAATCATGCAATGGATAATCGTCGAAAAAAATGGACTCTCCACCGTCCATCAAATTATTTCCAATTGATTTTTACTTAATTTTTTTTACCTTACCTGCCTTAAACCAATTAGCCCTGTTTTTTTTTGTAAATTAAATATTTAATCTTTTTTCCAACCATTTTTTTTGGTAAAAAATGACGTCAAGTTTTGTTATTCCCTTGGACGCCAATCCTTGTGTCAAAACGTTCTCAAGGGTAAATGAAAAATCCATTAATAAATAAAAAAAAAGTGCGCCGCCAACACTCACCTGCAACGAGAGAAAGAGAAAGCATATCAGTAAAGTGAGTCAAGGAGGGGGGCTCTCATGGGAGAGAAGGGGGTAGTGTATGAAATAATAAAAAAGAATTTCATTAAAAGCAATGGCATGGTGGAAAAAAAAAACAAATAAAATTATAAAATCGGCAGAGGGGGGGGATACGACGAAAAAAAACCGTGAGTAAACTGGCCGGCAAAATGGCGGCGATGGACACTCGAACACATACTTACACACATTTAAACACACACACTTAAACACCAACACGCACACTCTCATACATGGACACTCTAATAAGCTGCCCAGTGCTGCGTGTGTCAACTTTTGCACTTTTTTGCGCAAATGCAAATTGTGTACAAACACGGGGGGAAAAAAAGATGAAAGAAAATATATATATTTTCACACGAGACATGAGGACACCCCCTACAGACCCACCGACCCCTAGCTCTACCCTTCTCCTGCTTGCACACACTTAACGCTCCAGCGATTCGTTGGCCCAAAAGGGAAAAAATACATACAAAAAATTGCATTTATACACCTAGATCCATATACATATGTATGTATGTATATATATAACTACAACTTCATTCGAATGGCCGACCTGGCCATCCCCCTCTCACTCTCTGTATGGATGTCTCTTTTGCTCTAGTTTGGTTGCCCGAAAGGTATAATGAATGTCTATGGAATAGTCCAAATATTTGTTGTTATTCACAAAACAGAGAAACAACAAAAAAAAATATATAAAAAAAAACAAAACAATAAAAAATGCAACACTAACAAGTGTAGTGCCAACAACAACAATACCAGAAACAATAAAAATAAAAAAAAAAAGAAATAAAACTATTGAAACACACTGAACACGCAAAGCCCAAAGACAAGGCTACAGAAATGTACACGTCTAGGAAATGTATGAGCTTTGGTTGGGAATGCATGCATATGTATATATTTATAAAATATGCTTTAAAATATGGTATTTTAGGACCAAAGATAATCTTAGGGAACTTTGGTTTTAAAAGCTGTATAAGACTTTAGTTCGAATTTAAGGAAAAATACATGATTCATAGACTTTTTGAGAGAAACATTCTTTGAAATGGTATTAATTACATAACTAACCTTACTTTAATGGTATTTATGGTAATTGGATATGTTTTAAATTGAAACTATAGGTTACATATAATAGGAATGAATTGAAACCCTAAAAACTCATATTACTTTTACGATTTTTTTCAATTATTATGCATTTATGGGAGAAGAAAGTTTTAGAACACCACTATAAGTAGTTTTTAGACGGAATACCGAAGAGCAGACTTAGCACTTTTATAAACCTTATTTTTCAACACAAATCCTTATAATAAACATACATTTTTATAAGTTGAAAAATTTTGTAGATAATTATTCTCCAAATACAAAGGGAGTTAAGCTCTTAAAACTTTTGAAACTGCATTACAAAGACAACTTTCCCACTTTTTTTGGTATTATTGGAATAAGTCCTTTGAATTTAATTTTAAAATATACAGCGTTGAATAGAACTTAACTTTTAACAGGTTACCTTAACTAAGTTTATTATAATTATTTTTTTTTGAATTTTCTATTAAAATCTTCATTAAGATTATACTCTTGAAGGACTATAAAGTCATACAAGCTTTTATTAACTCACTTGAAACTAATTTCAAGGTTTTTTAACATTTAACGATCTATAAGTAATACTAACCTCACTTATTTGGTATTTACTTAAGGTATTCGTTTTATTAATACTTTTAGAAAGTTTATAAGTAGCTATATTATAATCATAAGCCTATGTTTTCTTTTAAAACTTCTGTATTTAGACTTCTTGACTATTATGCCCTAGAACTATTACTTGGGTATTGTACGCCAAGCCCTATTATAAGCCCTAGCCCTACTTCTTGGGTATTATACATTAAAATTCCCAAACCGTACTCTCTAAAACGTATCACTCTTAAACCTGCATAATTATATTTATTTAAATAGTTTTTATTTAATATATTTTCCTTAATTTTTCTAACCGTGTAGCTCAATAGTAGAAGGCGTGGTGTGTGTTACTACTCCTCTTCCGCATTGTTGTTAGCTTTTTTTGTTTTTTTTTTTTTTTTTGGATAGGCACAAGGGTAGCTTGATTCCTGCTAAGGACATTCTCACACACACACACTTGCTTAGAAACTAGAGAAGCACACACACTATTCTTCCGGTTGGTATTCTTCTATTTTTGCCTTTTTTTCTTGTTGTTTTTGTTGTTGTAGTTGCTGAACGCATTTAATGGTCGAACAAATGCTTGAGTCTTGTCGAGGGTGAGAATCCATCCATCCGCATTCAGGGGTAGGGAATTCTAAGGGTTGCTTACCCTCTCCAGTGCGTGTGAGTGTGTGTGTGTGAGCGGGAGGGTAATAGTGCCCCTATCATAGGCCAGAAAGAGAGGAAGTGACATTCTGTTGGGTTTAACCCATTGGCGGCCATTTTTAGTCATAGTTTTTTAAGGCAACCACGAAAGCTTTAACTTTAAATGGGTGAAGAGGGTTAGGAATTCTGGGAAATATTATTAAAAGCTTCAAATATTAAGACAAGACTTCTAAAAAATACTAAACGGCGGTTTTTCCCCGAAGCGTTAGTACCTATCTTGCAAAAAATACCACAGTACCCAAGCTAACCTCACTTTCCACTCCCGAAAGTGTCTTAAAACCCCATTTTATTTATTTTTCCATCTTTCCCAGAACTGCTTAGTACTTGAAGCACATATATCCGTTCTGTAATCAAACAAAATAGATCAATTGAGACCCATTGTATCACATGGAGTGCTACCCCTTACCAAAAAAAGCATTTAAATAAGCCTCCAAAATCGATAAATGCATTTCCATTCAAAAGTTTCTCCGTTATTGTCCATATCAATTACCCTTGTTATTAATTTATTATTTGTAAATAATAGCCAGAATCAATACGTATTTGTTCTTTTTTCGAACAAATAGTAGGCCTTGAATTTTACTTTTCGGGTATGGGCCGACATTTGTTTCCCAGTTGAATCATTTTATTCAGAGTGCCGGTCTGGAATAGACATATATTCGACGCGTATTTTTGTATTTCGTCTTTTTTTTTTGTTCGTTCGGTTTTACGTTTTATGAAAAAAAAATATAGTTCAAATTAAATTCCAATGTCTTAGTCAAAACCAGTACACATTAGTGGTGTATAGTCGCTTGAGAAATCCAAAAAAGAACACAATAGTCGCGAACAAAATTGAAAGTGCGCTCCGATCGTGTCCGATTACTCTAAAGAGTAATATATAATTAACTCACTAGACGATATTCCCGGGCATATCCATCAATGGCCAAGGACCAGTACGGAAATCCCATCGCCGAGGGCTATGGACCTGTCCACGGATCTGCCACTGGATCGAGTTCTGTTTCGGGATCCGGATCGGGCCCAGTACAGAGCTCTGCCATCAACTCTGGACCATCTGGAGGAGGTGTTCCAACAGGATGCGGGGTGCCAGGTTCGGCGCCACTCTTGAACTCTGATTTGACCGACGAACAGAGGCGGGAGCAGCGGGCCAGACTCATCAAGGCCCTCAGCCGCTTCAAGCCGCGGGATGCCAATCCCCTGCAGTTCTATAACTGTGTCCGCGAACTGTGCATCATGCACAACTGCTCCATAGACGAGGGCCTGGAGCGAGCGGCCCTCACCTGGCCGGGCTTGAGCATGGCCCAGAGGGAGCTCTATGATTCGGTGAGTAGTCGGTCGAGGCTTTCATATTCAAGGCAATATGGCAACTCTGGATATGGCCTTGTCCGAAAAGTATAGTCCTCTAATCTCTAGTCCTTCCTTAGCAACGTCATGCCGAACTGCCCATACCCGTGCCGAAGCACTTGGTCTACCGCGCCTTCCAGAAGGAGCGGAACGGTCTGTGGTCCCTGGGCCGCGCCCCGGCCAACAACCACCGCTCCACACGCTACACCGTCGAGTCCTACAAGCCGCCTCCGAAGCAGTCCCGCCTCCGCACCCAACTGGCCGACAAGCGGCCAAAGTACGACAACCTGCTGGAGTTGCCGCCGAAAGTGGCGGCAGCCCGGGTGCCTCCGCCCCACAATCCGAAGGTGTCGCGGGTGTCGCCGTCCTCGGGCCGCCGGATCCGGAGCCCCACGCCACCCACCACCCTACGGCGGGTGACGTCGATCCGCGAAATCCTCTCCATGGACAGCATCGAGGGCAAGAAGGCACGGCGCCGCCAGGCGAAGAGTCGCCTGCGAAAGGCCAAGAACCTTCGCGAGATCTTGGAGGCGGAGAAGCCTGTGCCGGAAAAGGTCACGGCGCCAGATGTCAAGCCCATGAAGACCTCGAAGAAGAGGGGTAGCCGCGGGCAAAAGAAGGCCGTGCGCCTGGAGGAGGAGAAGGCGGCAGCGGCTGCCAACTGGGAGCTGGCCATCGGATGTGTCCGCCGGCGTCTCATGATGCACCAGCCAAACAAAGTATAATAACTTGTGTGTGAAAGGCCCGTAAAGCCCAGTCGCTATATGACTGTGTGGCCTTAATAATGACTCAAAATGTGGTGGCAGCATCGCCCTATCAAAACTACTCTCCCTACACATACATGTGTCAAACCAATCTTGTCCCACTTCCATTACTTAATTTTTTTAATCCGAAAGATTGTAGGCATCGTGACCAGATGCACCGATAATCAGATAACCCATTTTGGCCAATTTCAAATCGTGATTCGAGATCGGTATGCTTCGAATATTTTTGTAACAAATTTTTATGAAGGCGTCGTCAAATTCCTTGGATTGAAAATGTATTAAAATATAGACAACCGATGGTGTTTTTGAAGACTATTTTAAAGGGTTTAAGACCAAGTTATGAGGAATTTTATAAAATAAAATGGACTTGGGCTTGGGATCTAGGCCCATTTTTTAGGAAAGGAGTTTAAAATAGAGAATCCATTTTATATGATAGAGTAACCATCTATGAATCTATTGTTAAAGGTTCCCCTAAGAGATCATGACTTTCCCTTTTCATTATATGACAAGATATCAATTAAAAGAGAAAGAAATATCCAGTTGAAATGAATCCAAAAATCTTTAAAAAATCATTCATTCACAAAGATTTAAAAATTATTTAGGTACAAATTGGGTTAGTCCTACATTGTATACCCTTTTAGTTTATATGACATCCTTTCTGTGGAATTATCACTTTTATGTTCTTTCATAAAAGAAATCTATAAAAACACGACTAAAAGTTTAACTGGAAGATCTTAAGGCCAATGAATATTGGCTATATTGGATATTAAACAATTGACAATTTTTGAAGCTTTTTTTTATTAAAAATTTGCAAATGTATGGATTCTGTGTGAATTTTCTAGATTGCTATAAGTATAAATGGTTTATTGTAAATTTTCCTGTAATATTTTGAAGAAAATCGATAAAAAATCGATTACCTGATCCAATCGTAATCCCTTTAAGAAATGAATAGAAATGAGCATAGATATAAACCTAATATTGAAGAATCGTATATTAAAATCCTTATTTATGTAATCAGTAAGTTCAGAGAAAATTTAGCAAAAAAAAAAACTACAGTTTTGTTTAAAATACTAATGCAGATCGATGCAATATCCATCTAATGATTATTTAGACCATTCCTTTTGCAGATTTGGCTAGAAATAGATCTATAATTATTTATTCTTTTTGACCTTTATAGACCTATCTATTTTATAAACCTATAAATCTTATATATACTTTATTCATAAAGTATTCCGTTTAAGGATCGGTTTTCACTAAATTTTATATTTAAGTAGCTGTAGTAAGAATTCTATCTTATAGATTCCACGTTTCTACTTATAAATATTTCTTTCTAAATCAAATTTTTAAAAAGTATATCTTCTTCAGAAACTTTATTAATATTTCCCACAAAAAAGTATGCTTCAAATATGAGAAGCCCCCTTAAAAATACTTGATCCAAACAGGTACCAAGTTCCCTATGTCGAATTCTACGAAAAGATATCCCGTACCGAAAACAAAAAAATGAAAAAGCCATGGCATAGGCCACAATTTAAGAAAAAAAAAACTAAAAATAAAAAAAAAGCCTCTTCTGTGGTGACTTTTGCTTTGTGTACAGTTGTTTCAAGCTTGTTTCTTTTCTAATTCCTCTTTTTGCGGAATTGAAATGTTTTTGTGTTTGCAAAATTAGCAGAGGCCACAACAAAAAAAAAGTTTGCGAATTTTTTGCGAGTCTTTTTTTTTATTGTTTTGGGTTAACGCATAAAAGCGCGTTTGAGAACCAAATAAAAAAAAAATTAAATGAAAAAAAAATAGAAAACCAAGAAGCAGAAGAGCTGTCCCCGAATTTAGGTCAAATGCTCAACTCGCTGCCTCGGTCACCGTCTCAGTCGCTGCCGCTGCCTCGGCCGGCGTCGCTGCCTGCGTAGCGATTGGCAAAAAAGTTTTATTTTTTTCGAATTTTTTTTTTTATTGTTGCTTGGCTGATTTCATTTATCTTTTTTCGGTTTTCATGTCTCTCTCTCTGTGTGTATGTGTGTTTTATTAGCCATTGTTGTTTTTGTTGTTCCTGGTGCTTAACTAACGGTTCATCAAAACGATTGCGTACCGCTTGGAAACAAAAAAATAAAATAAAAATGCCTACAAAAAATGTAGGGGCCTCTATAAATTTTTTTATTTTCTTGCCCGGCGCATAAAAATCGAAATCTAATTTAAAATCAATTAAAGTAAACGATAAAAATATTCAAGTGTTTATGTTAAAATAGATGGAATTACTTTAAAATACTTGCAACTTGAAAAGATCTTGTTGGTTAAATTATAGACCTTTTAATTTTTTAAAATTATTTTTTGTTAAAGATATGCTTTAAAAAAAATGTCTTGCTAAAATTAAAAAGGAACTTTTTATTAAATTTATTGAATTATAACCTAACAAATAATATGCAAGCATACAAAAAAAGTCCATTATAATAAAAATTAATGTACAAATTAAAAATAATGTAAATTAATTTAATTTAATTTTTATATATAAAACGTTCCAAATTATACTTTTAAAGTTCCAAATTAAAACAAGCCAAATTAAAACAAGTTTACTCGATTAATTGCATTTAATTTATGCTACATTTTGTGATATTTTTATTGAACAGTTCTCGGCATATTTAAGTAATATTTATAATTAATTTAACTTTTAATATTTTTAGTTTCAAACAATTTACAAGAAATATAAGTTCTTCGTTTTTATAGTATTTTCGTTCGTATTTATTTTATTTTTTTTAACTAGTTATTAAATAATTGAATGTAAAATGTTACCAATAATCCTCATAATATGAAATGTTAAATGTTTAATTATTTAATTTGATAAATTTTTTTTATTAAAAATAATCTTAAACAACCTTTTTTGGCTTTTTTAAGGAAGAATAATTATAGTTTTTTTTAAATATAACCTTTAGAAATATGTTTCCCGGAACTTGGTAATGGATCTTCTATTTCGAAATTCTTAAAAATATTTAGTTTTTTTAGCCCATGGCACATGTAGCTCTCAAATCTTGATTTTGTCCAAAAATTTCTCCTCTTCTTTTTCAGGTTTTTGGTTTGCCTTTTTTTTAATGTTGCGGATTTTTTTAATGTATTTTATTTCTTTTTTTTTTTTTTGCTTGTTGCGAAATTTGACTTCTAACTGCTTTTGTGCCGCCAAACACCGCACATCTACATATGAATGTGGGCTTTTTTTTGCAGTCTTTTTTTATAAGGCGCTAACTAGGCAAAAGCCACCAAGTTAAACCCCCCCAAACTACTACATATTTTTGGCTTTTTTTCGGCACTCGGCGCTTTGTTTTGTTGTCAAGCTGCTGTCCACACAGAAAGAAAAAACTATGCAGAGAAAAGCAATAACAACACGAGTAGGAACTGCGAAAATAGCAACAAAAATTCAGCAAAGAGTACAGCAGCGATTACGCAATGCGTTGCCCCACACACACACACATGCAGATACATAGTCACAGATACAAATACAGACACAGATACAGAAGCGATAGACGCCGGGCAACAACAAAAAAGTTTTTGTTTCGTTTCCGCGATCAACGCGCTCGCAAAAAAAAAGCACAAAAAAAAAACAACAAAATTCGCAAAAGCACAAACCTCACACAGGCATACACACTGCAAAAAAAAAAAAAGAAATAGAAAGAAGAAACATATTCGCAAATATAACAACAAAGTGGCTTGTGCGTGCGACCCAATTGGAAATTTGACATACATAGTGGGACACAGAGGCGTTGGGCCCCCAGCCCCAGAGGAGGACGAGGGGGGCGAGGGGAAGAGAGGGCCCAGAAAGCCCAGAAGCAGCTGCTAGTCGGATGGGGATCCCAGAAGATACAGATACAAAGGCGGATACAGATACTCGGCTGCCTATTTATGTTTGCGAAATAATACTCTTTCTTTTGAAAATTTAAAGGTCTTGTTGGGCAGGTTAAAAAATTAGAAGAAATTTTAAAATCTTAAATCCTTAAAATATTTATTAATTTTTTAAGTTTTCTTTTTTCAATTTCAATAATTTTAGATCATATAAAAGTGATAGCATATTTACTAACTTTTTCTTTGAAAAGATCAATTTTTTTGCATTAGAATTAAAACAAAAATCAGAAAGCTAGAGCTTTTCTATAAATTTATAATTACATTTTATATTTAACATAAGAAAAAATACTTTATTAAATTAATAAATTGAATAAATGAAATCTATGGCTTATAGAAGTAAAAAATATCCACTTACTTTAAAACCTACAAGTATGTTTATAAAACTAACCATTTAAACACACTTCTAACTATATTATCTTGAAACCTTTGGTAATGATATTTATAAAAGAATTTATAAAATTAAGGAAAAAAATTAAAAACATGGAAAGGAATATAAAAAAGTCAATAGAAAAATGAAAAATGATCTTTGCAGTCTTATTCATTTTAAGAAACAGTTTTTTACGAATATTTTTGTAGGAGAGTTATTTGTCTAATGTAGTTATATATTTTTATATTTATAATACTTAAAATAATTAAAACTAAGTATTCATAGAATTTATATCTTAAGAATTATAAAACTTAAGCTACAAATATGCATAAATAGCTAGATAATATTTTACTTTCTATAGTTTTTCTTTAAAAGTTATATTTTATCCCCATCTTCAACTTTTAATATAATAACAGAATAGAAAGAAAAATAGAAGAAAATAAAAATAAAAGACAATATGATGGCCACTCGTTTGTGGATTTTTCAGTGTGTTTGGCTTTTGTTTCGCGGATCCGCGAACTGGAAACTGCCAACTGGCAGCTGGCAACTGGCCTGACCTTTGGCTTGACCGTGGGCGTGAATTGCGAATAGTTGCGAAAAAAAATAGTAGTAATACAAAAAAAAATAGGGAAAACCTAAAAAAAAAAAAAAAGAAACAGAAAAGTGCGAGCAATATTTCTAGCGGGTTGTGTGGTGTCGCACAGATGAAATTCAATGCTATCGCCACGCACACGAATACACTGTGCAAATTAGTTCAGTAGGTGGCGGTTTTTTTTTTTTTTTTTCCTAATTTTAGCTTTTTAGCTTTTGGAAAAATTAACCGAGGGAGAGCTCTAGACAGAGACAGACAGGGAGCCAGATAGTGGGGGGAAAGAGCGCGAGCAAGGGCGGGGGCAATATAACAAAAAAAATTCGCACATTTCTGTCCTTGACATACATTGCGTATACGCAATCTACGCAGCCGGCTGAGTGCGTGCGAATTATTTTTTTTTTTTTGCGATTTCTTTCATTTGTTTTTTTTTGCCATTTTTATGATTTTTGCAATGCG